GAACAGAACCTAGGAGGTATGAGTTTTAATGATGTTGTCAAAAGAAAAAAAAAAAAAAAAAAACCCAGAAGACATTCTCTTTGTGTGACTCTTCAAAGCACTTTTTTTCTCTTTGGTATTTTTGAGACAGGGTTTCCTTATAGCCCCAGTTGGCCTGGAACTGGCTATGTAAACTAGGCTAGCCTCAAACTCACAGAGATCCACCTGACTTGCCTCCTGAGTGCTGGGATTAAAGGCATGTGCCCAGCCTCAAAGCACTTTTTTTTATTTTGCTGTAAAATTACAGAGCTAAAATTTGCCACACATGTAAAAGGAAAAGAGTATGCTTAGACCAGGAAAGGCTTTCTACGTCCTTTTCTAAAAGGCAGGGCATCAGTTTAAATAAGCTGTGTTTCTTCTTGTTGGATTTGGGGTCTCATGGAGATTAGAGAGCTGAGAGGCCCCTTCACCCATGCCAGCACTTTATGTTTCTACTCTTTTCCCTTGATTATCAAGCATCTTTTGAATTCAGCTCAGTGCTTCTTTAGGAAACCTCTGGAGGTAGCTGGAGTGTGTCCTAGTTTGTTCTTCATTGCTGTGACAAAATACTCTGACCAATACCAACTTAGGGAGGAAAGGGTTTATTCAGCTTACATCTCCCAGGTCGCAGTTCATCAGGGAGCCCAAGGTAGGAACTCAGGGCAGGAACTGGAGGGAGAAGCTGGAGCACAGGCCATGGAAGAATACTGCTTACTGACTTGCTCCCCTGGCCCCTGCACAGCCTGCTTTCTTACGAAACATAGGCCCACCTGCCCAGGCGGTGGCACCACCCACAGTGGGCTGGTCCATCCCACATCACTCAACAATCAAGAAGGTGCCCCATGGACATGGCCATAGTCTAGTCCAATGAAGGCAATTCCCAAGTTGAGGCTCCCTCAACCCAAGTGTGTCAAGTTGACACTAAAGCTATCTAGCACAGGTGGAGGACATGTTCTGTTTTATCTGCATTTGATTATGCTGGAGAATCTGATATGTAATTTTTTATATGTGAAAGGTAGGGGAGAAAATGTTGGATTTGCTATGACATCTTTGCACTAAGATTCTCAGTGGTAATTCTGAAACTTTTCTTTTTGTCAGATGCTGTGTTGAGTTGACCAGTGAGTGGTGAAAGCTGAGAAGCTGAAACAAATCTGCACATGACACGGGGTCTCTAAGGTGAGGAATAGCACGGCTCAGGATTACGAGTTCTCTTGACAATATACAAGCTACACTGAACATACTAAGAGGTCATTAAGAATGAGTATGATATTCCAATTTAAAATTTTACAAAAACAGTTGCAAAAGTAATAGAATTCCATTTGTAGTGGTATGTGAGGCAATGGATCTTGAATCCCTATGCCCCACTAAATTTTCTCTTTCTTATTTATGCTCTATTTGACCCGCCCTTACTCTCTCAGGGTCTCGTGCTCCTAACACAGGTGGACAAACCGACATAACACATTTTAATCTTGGGTTTCATGTGGGTTTATATGATAGGGAGGGAGGACTTAAAAAGAGATGGCATCATTCCAGCCCACCCACAGTCTCCGTTAGCTTTTGCCCACACCCCATGGGAAGCCCCTTCTCGCTTCCATGCCTACAGGACACCTCCGCCATTTGCCCCAATGGCTGCACACTTCCTTTTCCTGTTCCAATCTCACCACCTCTAGCTCTGTCAGCGACTAGGCTCCACCCATCTTCCCAGGGTGCCCTGCGCTTGCCCGTCACTCATGCTTTTCAGAAGAATGAGTGGTTTCTGGGCTACACTCCACTCCTTTCCTCTGGCTCTTACAAACGTTCCACCATTTCTTCTGAGAATTTCCCTGAGCCTTGAAGGGGGTGACAGATGTAGGGCGATCTCTCTTGTATCATGGTGAAATAGTGATCTCTTGAGGCTCCCCATCTTCAAGACATGACTGCTGCTCTATCTCAGTGGTGTTTCCCCTATTATAAAGACAAATGTAAGGAAGTAGACACATCTAGACAAACATGAATGTAAATACAAATGCCTAGAAGATATTCCAGTAGGTGTGCCATATTCATTAAAAAGTATACTTGCAATGAGTTACCCACTGGGGCCTATAAGCCTTCCCTGACATAGGGAGTTGGCCTGGTCTACAGTACTTCCAGGTGGGCTGTGACTAGGGACATTCTGAAAAAAAAAAACAACAACAACATAGAAACAGTTTATAACCTCATGCAGACAGAAAAAAAAGATAGGAAATATTAAAGAGATTGTGAAATGATGTAATTGGAATACCAGAGAGAAAACATTTCAGGATAGTCTCAACTATAAAGTGAGACACTATGTTAAAAAAAAAAAAGAAGCAAAAGGAAAGAAATCAAAGAAAAAGGAATTAAAGAAATAAAACATGGAGAAGGAAGCATAAAAATGTCAATTTTGTGGTGAACAAGGTAAAATTATATCACATTAACTTTCAATGTCATTTAATTCAGTAGACATTAATTGGAATTTTAGTATTCTAAAATCAGTGTACTGTGTTAACTAAAGGTACAGACCTATTTCAAATGTAACATCTGAAAGAAGACAAATACAATGTTTCTTTGTAAGCCAGTAGAAGGAAAATAGCAGGAGAAAACTGGTTTAAAAGAAGGCAGTAGCTGAGCGTGGTGGCACACACCTTTAATCCCAGCACTTGGGAGGCAGAGGCAGGTGGATCTTTGTGAGTTCGAAGCCAGCCTGGTCTACATAGTGAGTTCCAGGACAGCTGGGGCTACAAGGAGACCCTGTCTCAGAAAGAAAAAAAAAAAAAAGGCAGTAGAGAAGTATTTGATTGATTGATTCATTCTTTTGATGCTAAGGATTGAACCCAGGGTTTAACATATGTATGCTAAACACACACTCTACTACTGAGCTACCACAGCCCAAGTACTTGGGATTTTGTTTTATTTTAACAGGATCTTGCTCTGTAGCCCTGGCTGGCCTGGTAATGTAGCTCAGGCTGACCTCACATTTGAGATAGTTCTCCTGAGTGCTGGGATTACAGGCATGTGCCACTGTGCCTGACTCAAGTACTTCTTTTGCTCAGCTTAGTTATTTTGAGATTCATCCATATTGTCACATGAATCAGTAGTTTTTTTCTTCCCTTGCAGTGCTCAGTAAGATACTGTCTTATGGATATATCATAAGTTGTGTATTCTTGCATTTGTAGATAGAAAATGCCTTCTTTCTAGTTTTTAGCTACTGCAGATGAATATATGTAAAAGGCAATGGTTTGAGAGGAGAGCTTTGCGGCTCTCTGATCATACAGAGCCACCAAGGAAGTGTTTCCTGTGGTCAGCCATCTAGGCAGAGCCTGCTGCAGTGGTAAAGCCAGAACTAGGCAAGTGAATGAATGATATGCCGTGGTAGCTATTCATGTCAAAGACTTGCAGATGTGTTTCTGTTTGAATTATATGACCTTTAAGCCTCTCAGGGTGCTTCATCAAAAATATGAAGGGAACAGCTATGACATTCTCAACAGGAATTGACTAGGATTAAAATATTTAATAACATCAGGCACAGATAGCCTCAGAGAACATATCTATGCCAACTTCGAGTTTGTGACAGATGTAGCAGACATTGGGATCAGGCAGTCCTAGAATGTCTTTAATAGGCCTTGCCAAATTGAAATATTCCCAACTCCAGTTGCTATCCAGTGTTCCTTCACCTTAAAATGCATGTTAACAATTTTGGCATGTATGGACCTTGGAAGCCATTTTGTCTCTTTGGAAATGCTGTACATAGGTGCATACTGATTTTCTGTAAATTCACAACATAATTATGTATTATTGGGATTGCCTTACTCCCTCTGCTTCCCAACTGTCAACCCATCAAGAAACCTATCCTGTTTAAATTAATTAGCATTACAAAAAGGATATCTTCAGTTGAGAGCAACTTTTCTTTTTTCTTCTCTTTTCTTCTCTATTCAAGGCAGGATTTCGTGTAGCCCAGGCTGCCTTGAACTTGCTATGTAGTCAAGTATGACTTTGAACTCCTGATCCTCCTTCCTCTACTTTGCAAGTGCTGGGATTACAGGCATTTGCCACCACACCTCGTTTATATGGGCTTCTTGTGTGTTAGGCATTAGGCAAATATTCTACTCACTGAGCTGCATCTGCAGTTCCCTAGTTCATTACAAATTTCTACTTTTACAACTAAATAAATGAAATATCATATATTAAACTCCAGGCTGTTGAAAAAGAAACCTTAGTTCAGTAGGACATTCTTTGTCGGTGACTGGTAGCGTCTCAGCTTTGCATTAAAGAACAACAGCAAAATTCCCTGAAGAGTGTTTTAGGAATCTTAATTTTTGGTATAAATAAATGTTAATAAAGGCAAATTTAAAAGGGAATCAGATTAGGGGAAACTTGAACTAAGTAAAGATTAATATCTTTGAGAAATAAAAAACTTATTGAGTTTTTTTTTAAATTTTTATTATATGTGTATGAGTGTATTGCCTGCATGTAGGTAAGTGCACCTGGGTCATGCATTCCCCACAGAGAACAGAAGAGGCCACTGGATCCCCTGGAACTGGAGTTACAGACAGTTGTTAGATGCCATGTGGGTGCTGGGCTTCGAACCTGGGTCTTCTGAAAGAACAACCAGTGTTCTTAACCACTGAGCCATCTCTCCAGCCCCAAACTTACTGAATTTTATGAGTGAGATATGATAAGTTTTATGAGGCTGGTGGATAAATAAAATACAGATATGAACTTGTGGTTCTCCTAAGAAATTAAAAAACAAGGGGAAATGTTGAGTCATACAAGTAATCAAGGAAATGCAAATTAACTATGAGAGAGAATTTTACTGCTCTCTAAATAAAGAAGCATTCAGAAAAGTCCTTAGAGATGGTGCCATAGTACACCGATGCTGGTAGAATCTAACTAAATTAAATTTAATCTCTTTTAGAAGTTAATAATAGATGCTATGGTTTTTAGAATGTGTGTATGTTTTGACCCACGAGACCTATTTAAAGAACACTGTCTTAATAAATAACTAAAATATGGAGGGGGAAAAGAAGTTTGCAAAAGTTTTGACAGGATTTCTGGAAACTGTAACGGGTAGGGTGTGCCAGTGGTAATGGGTGTGGTAAATTGCTGCTAGTTGTCTAGTGAGTGAGGCTGGAGTGACTCTGGCAGCGGCATCTTTCCCAACAGAATCTTGGCACTTTGGATGTTACCAGTTTACATCGCTTTCTCCTGAAGTTATCAGCAGACAAGCCACAATTAATATAGGTACAATTGGCAATGTAGCTCATGGTAGGGCCACTGTGGTAAAAGCCATTTTTTTCTGGAGTTCACATCATTAGATTACAAAATGAACTAGAGGCTGGGTGTGATGATGCACGCCTTTAGTCCCTGAACTTGGGAGGCAGAGGGAGGTGGATCCATGTGAGTTCAAGGCCAGCCTGGTCTACATAGTGAGTTCCAGGCCAGCTG